ACCGTCCCACACAGAAATCTGAAAGGAGGGGGGGGGGGGGGAGGTGAAGGTTAACGTGATTAACACAGAGAGTGAAACTAATTATACGGCTAACAGGTTTCAGATTGTCTGACAGTCTTCGGGGGTATGCCTCCCCCTCGTAGACTGACATTGTGTTCGCTTTGATTCTCCCCCCTCCAGGTGGATGAGAGGGGGGGGGGGGGGAGGTTGATCACAGCCAGATAGCAGGTCTCATTTTTATTCATCTGTTGACTAGGAGTGAAGCTGCTTTAAATTCTTAAAAATATGTTATGTATCTGGAATTGTGTGGACCAGTCCACCTTCCCTCCTTAGAAAGTTTAGTCCAGAGGGAGGCAGGGTGACAGAAAAATGATTACGAGAGCTTGTAGGCGAGAGTCAGACAGAGCGAAGAAGTCGGAAGCTCTCAGCGTTTGTAAACGGCGCTACCCGATCTGTCCGGGGCCCTGAGGCACGGAAGTGTAAATCTGCCTGGCTGCGTGCCAGCTGTAGAGGATGGGGAGGGGGGGGGGGTGGCAGGGCCTTCTCACTGATGCTTTATAAACAGAAGCCAATGCAGTGCACCAGGCACTGTTAGTTTAAGGTGCCATTAAAATGTTTCTACTGAGGTAAGCCACAATCAGCCTTTTACACAGCCATCTTTCAAAAACGAAACTATTATGTGTGATAATAATTTTATCTTCTGCTGCAAAATAAACTGGCTTAATACTTAAGATTAGAGGACTTTGGGGTGACATTCTTTTTGAGGATGTGTGTAGATTGATGAAAGTCGAGGTGGATGGTTGTCCCTGAGGCACAGAGAACAGAAGCCGTCTCTGTGGCTCCAGTTTAGACTGCAGGGCTGTCGAGGCCAGCCGGGACTTGTTGTTCCGACGACAGTGTGCAAGAGGGGGCTTCAAAAAAAGCCCCTCAAGAGATGTGAGTAAATAGTCAAACAGTTATAAAAGCAGTTAGATTTTAATAGCATGCACCGGATATCAGGGTTTGTATTTTACATGCATAAATTGTCTGCACCAGTTCATGTACTGGTGCTTTGATTGATGGTCACCATAATGTCCAACGTCAAGAAAAACAAGAGCTGTAAAAGCAGCAACTGGCCTTGAAACAGTGACCGGCATTTTCCTAACTTCTGGTATATAATAGAATCTACACCTTCCAAGCTGCCAACTTTATTTATTTATCCAAACTAAATCTTGTAGTAGGCTATAAACAAACTTTAACTAAGCTTTTAATAATCACCTGAAACAATTCTGTGGGTATTTTATGTTCAGTTACTAATTTGAAACCCGCTCCGAGCGCATGTCAAATATAATTATATATCTAATGTTGCTAATTGTATGCTGCAGCAAAAGGAAAACTCATTTTCAGTCCAGATTTTTTTTCCCTGCTACATCATTAGATTATATAAAAGTCTAAGTTAAGATTTTTGTCTATAAACTCTGTACTTGACTGTAAATCACCAAAAATAAAACATAAGACATAATTTAACCACACATGTCACAGATTAGAGGATGACTGGATGATAAATTTTGTTTAAAAATAAAATGTATGTAT